GACTCCTGATGGCACGTACCTGGCAGCAGAGCTGTCTCAAGCACACGCCTCCAGTGCGTGTCAGTTTGTATATTAAATATTAGTACATCTCACTTTTTTATTCTTTGTAGAAGAAGAAAATATAAGTAGATGCTACACTGTCACCATTTGGGTAACGCCCGGGGCTCGCCCCAGCTTTCGAGGTCAGGGGTCAGTGGAAAGAGTCTGTTCCTTACAGCTTGCCCTGGTGCCGCTGGCGTAAGAAGGCCCCCGCTCCCTCACTGTGGGGACCAGGAACATGTGCAAAGCCCGAAATGGGTGCCGCTGCCCTACTCTAACAGTGACCTTCATTAAACATCTGTATTTGTCAATGATTCATTACAGGCTTCCCTTTAGTAAATATATTTTTAAAAGAATAATACATTCTTATCTCCACCTTCTTTGTTATTTCAGATGCCATGGGTCAGTGTCTTCTCCAGTCTTCTCTACTACAGATTTCACATGAGTATGTCCCTATATTTTGCTCCTGGTGTCATTAAAGATTTACCTTGAAATAATTGGAAAGTATCCCAAGTTCACAATAACAGATCAATGAAAATACTGAGGAGGGGCCTGAAAAGATTTATACAAACATAAGGTGCTTGTAATATTTGTGTAGAGGAATGTTATCATTCTTAACTTAAAAAAATAATAAAAGGAAATATTAATTGATAGTAAGAATAGTTTCCAGCCAAAATAGTGATTGCCTTTTTTATGTTCTTCTTTCTCTGAGATCAGCAATTTCAACATAGTGTTGGACTTTTGGTGGTGTCATGGGACCTTTCCTGGGCAGGTGTCCTTTTACACCCCTTTCTAGGTAAAGAGCCTGTCACTGGGGTCCTGGCAACACCAACAGGCTACTGCTGTCTTGTGTCATGCTATTTAGTTGATACTCTCTGTTTGGATCAAGACTGCTTATTAATATGTTCTGAAACAAGTGTGTCGATGTTATTAGTTTGTATACAATTTAAAATTAAAGTAAGCCACTGTCATTCAGGGGCAGAATTCAAAATCCATTATTCTTTTTTTTTATTCTGCTTCGTAGAAGTAATTGTAAGATTTAGGTCAAATCCAGGGTCATGGTTTTTTACTTAAGACTCAGGCAGTCTTGAATGCCAAACACTGATGTAATATACCGACAGTGTCCGTCCTAGTTAGTTTTAACATTTCGTTCATGTTATGTGGACAATCAGAAGACTAAAATCAAGTACGAGTTATATTCTGTCATACCCTTTTTTCTTTCAAGATTAGCGACGCTAACAATAGTTTTTAAAGACTTTTTTTTAACAATATTTTGTAAATTTACTCAGTATTTTTTACAAAAATAACTCCTATTTACTGTAAAATGAAGTCAGAATACATAAAGATATAAAGCACATTCTTCCACCACCTCCACTCATTCTTATCTCCCAGTGGCGCAGTCCTATTAATACAGCAGAAAATAAAGATTTTTTAAAAGAAGCTGACCAATAAGAAGCTGAATCAACTTACATTCAGAAAAATATGGAAATATATGATAGGAGCTGAGGATGCAATATTTTATTGTACTCAATTTGATTGTTATAATATGTTTTTTTTCCAAACAATGAAATTGTAAAAATAGCCAAATGAGATTTTAAAAAATAAAGAGAGCCCATGAGACTATAATCACAAACGTTTTTGTAAACTTTAAATGAAAATAGTACAGTAACACCTTAGCTGTTTGGAACCCTGGAAGAATTGACGTGATTTCCAGAAAGTTGAGATTTTTCTTGCCTTTTAGAAAAATTTTAGATAGAGATTTTATGAAAAAAAGATTTTACTCTGCTCCTCCTTCTTAACTGTAATAGATTTGTTTTAGTGTTTTAGTGACAACTGAGTCTGTGTTCTGAATGGCAGTTAGTGTACTGCGTTTAAAAAGTGAATGATGTTTTCAGGAACTTTTGATGTATATAAGCCTTCTTTGACGCCACCCTGAATGATCCCAACATCCTTTTGAGTCTCACTGCCTTTGTTTTAGAGTATGTTACACTGTCATATCTGTGCTCTGCCACTTACTGGCATTGTGGCCATGGGCAAGGCGTTTGAGCTCCCCATGTCTGCTTCCTCATCTCCACATGGGTGTACCAGTGCTGCCTGGTACTGTCCTTATAAGGGTTCACAGAGGAAGTGTTCCTACAGGGCTCGCCTGGCCACTTCTGAGAAGCCACGCTGTGAGGACGTCCTGAGTTGGGGGTAAATGCAGGCTTCTTAGTTCTCTACAGTGCCAAGAACATAAGAATGCCAGAAGGTTCTAAATATACAAGCTGTGACTACAAAATGAACTCATTGAAGGTGATCCTGGCAAACTGGAGGATGAACAAAGGTGTACAATTGAATGAGGACTGAAGGCAGGCAAGGAGGTAATTCAAAAAATGAAGTTGTGGGCCGGCCCTGTGGCCAAGTGGTTGAGTTAGCACACTCCGCTTCGGCGGCCCAGGGTTTCACCCGTTCGGATCCTGGGTATGGACATGGCACCGCTCATCAAGCCATGCTGAGGCAGCATCCCACATGCCACAACTGGAAGGACCCACAACTAAAATATACAACTATGTACTGGGGGGATTTGGGGAGAAAAAGCAGAAAAAAAAGAAAAAGATTGGCAACAGTTGTTAGCTCAGGTGCCAATCTTTAAAAAAAAAAAATTAAAAAAAAAAAAAAAAGCCTGGATATTTGAATGTCAAACACCCCAAACATTGTAACAAGTGTTACTCATTTAAAGTGGTTAAACAGTGACCCAGTACTCAGAATGTTTGTGCGTCAAATTTTGGTTTCCCTGGTCTCCTAAGTATCCTCTAGGAGGTATGCCCTAATCCCATCGCCCTGCTGTGTGCTGCTTCCTCCGCATGCAGTACAGGAACTAGGGGCACTGAAGATTCCCACGAAATGGGTCGATTCAGGTGGTTATGTCTGAGTGCCTGCTGTATGCAAGGCCCCGTGTTGGGCATTAGGGGATCCAGGGAACCAGAAAACGTGGTCACCTGGCACCAGCCCTCACAAAGCAGCAGCTGGGGAGGAAGAAGTGTAAGCGAGGTAGGTAATCGTTTAGGCGATGGGAAGTGCTGGAGGACTGGCTGGGAGCAATACATCTTCTCCAACGTGGAAGTAAGGGTAGGCCTTGTAGAAGGACCCTGAACAGGAGGTGGACAGTTAGGGGCAGGAAAGGAAAAGAGGAGCGGGGGGATGGCGTGAAGAGAGGTGGGTGAGCACGAGCAGGTGAAAGCAGGAAAACCCTAGGCCACTGAGGCACACCCTGGGGTGCAGGCACACACTGGGGTGCAGGCACACACTGGGATGGGGCAGTGAGTCCCAGCAGCTTTTGTCTCAGGACCACTTCACGCTCCTAAAAATTATGCAGGACGCCTAAGAGGTTTTGTTTATGTGGATTTAGCTACTGATATTGACCATATTTGAAATTAAACCAGAAGAAAATTTTAAGTATGTTTTTATTAATTCATTAAAAGTAATAAGCTTATGGCATGTTAACAGAAATAACATTTTTATGAAAACAGCCATATTTTCAAAAACAAAGTTAGCAGCATTGTTTTATATTTTTGCAAATCTCTTTTGTCTGGCTTAACAGGAGCTAGCTGGATTCTCCTGTCTACTTCTGCACTCAGTCTGCTGCCGTGTGTTTTGGTTAAAGTGTAGGAAAATGTGTAGTTGGGAAAAGGAGTAATTTAATAGCCTTTTCGGAGCATTGTGGACGTTTTCTTTAATGTTACACCAAAACTTAACAAACGAGTAGTTTCTTAAAGGAATCTGCAATGTCAACCTGAAACCATAGCAATAAGTTGTCTCTACATTTTATTACATTAAAATCCAGTGAACTGTCTTGTGCTTTGAATGTCTCTTTTGCCCGTGAATGATATTTTACACCATTTATTGATCACTTGGAAAATACTGGTTCACTCAGTTATGCAAATGTTTTGAGGCGTTTTGTAAACCTTGGACACATTTGAGTATATCTGTCGATACATCTCATACGTTAATAGCACCACTGATCTCATCTTCACTGCGGGGAAGCTATCAGGCTCACACTGGCAGATAGAAGTTTTCCAGACTTCGCAGAGTACTGGAAAGTCGTTCAGAGCTCCGTCACTTTCCACCCCTACAATCACCCTCTAGACCTGTTTCTTAAGCTCTGTTGTGTCATTGTAAAGATTACATGAAAAAAATAGGTAAATATGTATAAAGCTTTTAATATGGTACCCGGCCCAGGTGCGCACTCACTAAGGAATCGTGATTGTTGTTACTGTGTGCACTGTTCCCATACTGCTGCTGTCATGAATGTCGTCAGTCTTCACATGTGATGCGTGTTGGCTGTAGCCCACAGTGAGGAATGAAATGTGCTCTGTGGAGCACCAGGGTGGTTACTCTTGACTGTGTTTATAGCAACTCTTTTTGACAAGCTTCGGACTCAGGCCACTTGCTCTGGCTTTGCCAGCTAGCCAGTGGGCAGCCACCGTGGCCTTCCCCTGGGACTTAGAGCAATAGCAGACCTGAGAGCATCCTTCCCTGTGGCCTTTTCTTACCTTGCCTGTACCTACAGTCCACAGTTGTCCCATGTGTGTGTGTCCGTGCCCCTGACCCCAGACTGGTGCCTGTGGTTGGCCTCTTGTCCCCTTGCGCCTCACAGTGCTGGCATGTGTTAATTGGCGCTCAGATAATATTTATTGAATGAACGCTTTTAGAGGGAACTTACTTTGAACAGTACTCTCGACATGGTTTCAAAGAGTTAAAAAGTATACAAACTTTGTTACATGAAATATATGATCTGAGCAGTCACTAGCTCTTGTTTTGTTTATTTTGAAATGTTTAACCTCTGTTCACCCCTACCCCATCTCTTTTTTCTCGAAACTCTATTAATTCAAAATAAAAATAGTGGAAGGCTTAAAAGTGTTTGACAGTAATTTTGGGTTAAACATCTTTGCGATCAATATACTTTGCTTTCTGCTTTTCAGATGTTCCTCCTGCTGATCAAGAGAAGCTTTTTATCCAGAAGTTACGTCAGTGTTGTGTCCTCTTTGACTTTGTTTCTGATCCACTGAGTGACCTAAAGTGGAAGGAAGTAAAACGAGCTGCTTTAAGTGAAATGGTAGAATATATCACCCATAATCGGAACGTGATCACAGAGCCTATTTACCCAGAAGTAGTCCATATGGTAAGTGACTGCACTTGAACCAGCGTGTCCCAACACTGAGTGGCAAACAGGCCTCCGATATTCTTAGAACGAGCCGAGACGTTTGAGCCTAACACAACACTTCCCACGAAAACATCCTCCTTCAAGAATTTGTACTTGTGCTATGAGAGTGCCAATCTTTGTAATGTATCTTGGATGATAATGATGATAATGGTAAGGGAAATTGGGTGCCTTCTAGGGACCAGCCGAAGTGCCCTAGGTGTGTTAACTCTTTAATCCTCACACCTACCCTGTGGCATAGATGTGCCAGAACTTTTATTTGCATTTATTATCTCATCCTCTTTCCCCTTTTTTTTAAACATATTTAACATTAATGTAATAGTGCCGTATATGATTTAGAAGTAAACATGTCCGTATGTGTGCAGGAAAATTCTAATGATGGGGCAGAATTAAAATAATGGGAGGACCAAGCTGGCGTCAGGACAGCCCGCCCTGATTGGCTGAGACAGCCTCCGCTGTCCATGGCACTGTCAGCACAGCTCATCCCCGTTGGCTGAGATGGCCTCTGTCACCCTGCAGTTAGCTCATCGTCGGTTCCATTCAGCCCCAAGTCTCAGTCCTCTGTGGTCTCATACTTTACAGCCTGTTTCCAGGTCCTTTTCAGGATCCCACTGTGACCTCAGTTGGTACATGTGGAAACATTTCATGCAAGCCATTACTAAAACTCTTACTGTCTAACACTGAACTCCAATTTTCTGTTGAGTGTTTTTGAATCGTTGATATTTTGTCCAACTTTGAAATCATTTCTGCTCCCTAATTATTAGGGAGACCTTGTTGCTTAATATAAAATTCTAAATCCTAATTTTTAACTCCTTCTTAAATTACTGATTTTTTTTGCCCCAAACCTGTAAGTTTCAGATTTGACTAGGCTTGTTGACCAGAATTTCTTTTTGAGGAAGATTAGCCCTGAGCTAACATCCGCTGCCAATCCTCCTCTTTTTGCTGAGGAAGACTGGCCCTGAGCTAACATCCGTGCCCATCTTCGTCTACTTTATATGTGGGACGCCTGTCACAGCATGGCTTGACAAGCGGTGCGTAGGTCCATGCCCAGGATCTGAACTGACGAACCCTGGGCCACTGAAGCAGAGTGTGTGAACTTAACCACTGCACCACCGGGCTGGCCCCTATTTATTTCTTACTTTAGGATGTTTGCTTTGGAAAAAAAAGATGAAAATAATGTTCTTTTTTGTAGTTCACAGTCTGTTGTGTCAGAAGTTGAGATCAGCCTGATTATTTTAGTTTATTGTTGCTAAGTCTTAAAGTTCAGAATTTCCCAGCATGTGACCAGCCTAGCAATGCGAGAGCCGTGTGGGTTCCCTCCCCAGACTCACACCTGAAGGGTAGTCATAGGCACATAAACTGAGCAGTAAATACTCAAAAACCTTACTCATTCAGACTAAGGAAAATTGAAGACTATCTTTTTTTCTTTCCTTAATTTCAACTCAATTATTTTAGAAGCCCTCTCAAACCCCAAAATCACAAAGAAAAATCTCTAATATTTTCTCCTAATACTTTCATGATTCTGTTGTTTACAGTACATTTTATAATCCTCCCAGAACTTTTTTTCTTTACGGTGCAGGGTAAGGCTATAACTTTACTTTCTTCTAAAATCATTGAAAAATCATTTGTGGGGCCGGCCCCGTGGCTGAGTGGTTGAGTTCTCACGCTTCACTTCGGCGGCCCAGGGTTTCATCAGTTTGGACCCTGGGTGCGGACATGGCACCATTCATCAGGCCATGCTGAGGCAGCATCCCACATGCCACAACTAGAGGGACCCACAACTAAAATATACAACTGTGTACCGCAGGGCTTTGGGGAGAAAAAGGAAAAATAAAATCTTTAAAAAATAAATAAAATTTCCCCCTACACCATGTATTTAATATTGCATTTTCCCCATTTATTTTAAGTGTCAGCGGTCTCTGAGCCCCACTCTTAACCCAAGACGGAAGAGTCTGCAAAGACTGAGGCTTCACTTGGCCTGGTTTGGGTCAGATGCGCCCCTTGAACCAAGTGTGGGCCCGCCTGCTTGAGGCAGTCTCTCATTTGCCTTTCACAGTACCCGTGTGCATTACCAGAACCACTTAGGATACTTAAAGCCCTTTCGATGTTTTTTAAGATTAAATAGTCATTACTTCTCCTCTCCCTGTTATAATTGTATCGTAACTAGATTCTTTTCCTGCTGCCTTAACTTTGTTCTGCACCCTGAAATTCAAGCCAGTCTTCAGAGCATTGGGCAATTTGCCCTCTAAAGCACTTAGCAGACAGTTACTGAGCATCCTCTCCAGGCCGGGCACGTGTTCAGGTGAGGAAATAGAGTAGTGAACAAGAAGACGTCTGCCCTCCCAAAGCTTTCCTTTTCATAGGGGACAGGCATAAAGTCAGCCACCCAACACTGTACCCTCCTAGATTATGGTAACGCAGTGAAGGAAAGTGAAGGGGCAAGTGGATAGAGTGCAAGACTGCCATATGCCCGTGTGGTGGGAAGAAGGTGCAGAGGGAGACCCTGTGCACGATGCAGTAAGTGTAGATCTGTGCTGTGAGGTGCTTGCCCATGTCCCCGAGCGGGCAGAGGATGGTTCACTCTTTCCTCCCTGCTCTAACCAGAGCAAGTGCAGGAGAGAGCGCAGCCTTTCCCTGATCTCTCATTTGTCCAGAGCTTCGGGGGTGGACTGAGGGCGAGAGACAGAGAGGGATTTTGGTGTTATTTGCTGCTGTTGCTTTGTTTTATAGACAGAGGGCGCTGATGAAAGGTATAAGGAAAGAAGAAAAGTATGATGGGGAGGTACTTGGCAGAGGTTTCTGACCCTCAGCAGTGGACAGGATGCAAGATTCGAGCAACCAGTAGAAGGCCTCACGCAGGCCACACCTGGACCAAGCGTGGCAGGTGGAAGGATGTGGGCCCTTTGGTGTCCATTCGGGTGCCCCCTGGTGTGCTGACCACGGAAGCAGTGCTCAGCCGGCTCGCTTGTCCTATTGCCTGTTGTTTATTTTTGTGCGTGTGTATATTTAGTTTTGTTTTGTCATAGAATTTTTAAAGACATTAATTTCCACTTTGAGGAATCCGAAGCTCTGTGGATATCGTACTCCTTGTGCTGCTTTTGAATATATTGCCGATTAGACTGGGCTGCTATATGGCTTCCTAACAGATTTATGGAGAGAATTCACATACCAGAGAATTCACACGTCTAAAATGTACAATTCACTGGTTTTTATATAGTCACAGGATTGTGCAGCTATCGTCGCATCTAATTTTATAACATTTTCATCCCGTTAAAAGAAATTCTATCCCCACTAACAGTCACTGCCATTCCTCCCTAACTCCCATCCCCAGCCCCTGGCAGCCGCTTGTCTGCTTTCTGTCTCTCTTGTCTTCCTAACCTGCACATTTCATATAAATGGGATTATACTACATGTGGCCTTCTTTCACTTAGCATGATGTTTGCAAGGTTCATGCATGTTGTAGCCTGTATCAGTGCTGTTTATTGCTACGTAATATTCCCTTATATGGATATATACCACATTGTATTTATCCATTCATCCGTTATGGACATTTGAGTTATTTCTGCTACTTGGCAGTTAGGAATAGTGATGCTGTGAGCATTCACGTACAAGCTTTTGTGCACATATGTTTTCATTTCTCTTGAGTCTTTATCTAGGAGTGGATCTACTAGGTCACATGTTAACTTGGTGTTTAACATTTTGAAGAAATGATCAGACTTTTCCAAAGCATCTGCACCATTTTACATTCCCTCCAGCAGTATACAGGGGTTCCCGTCTCTCAACACGTGTTATCATCTGTCTTTTTGATGAAACCCATCCTAGTGGGTATGAAATGGGATCTCACTGGGGGTTTGATTTGCATTTCCCTCATGACTAATAATGGTGAGCATCTTTTCATGTGTGCTGTGTATTTTTTTACATCATAGACTTTAGACCTGGAATTTAACAGAACCTTACAGATCATCTAGCCTCACCCTTTTATTTTCCAGATTAAAAAAACTTAGGTTCAAGGAGATGAGAGTGAAGAGAAGCAATACTCGGGGGGAAACTCCTGGCATCAAGAGTCTCAGGCCCAAATTACATCAACTCCATTATCTCTTAATTTCAGTCATATTTTAAATATAACCAGCCATCTGTTTTTTCAATTAAATTACCTGGTTAATCTGTTTTTCAGGCATTGGCATTTTTCTTATAGTCAAAACACTGATAGCAAAATCAAGTAATAGCAAAGCCACTTTTTTCACGGAGCACCATTTTTACTTGAAGAATGACTGGCAAACTGGTTATTCAGACTTGAATATTTAGCAAACGTTTTCTCAAAAAAAAACAGATAAAATGAGAATGTTACTTCAAGAAAAATAACTGATAGTGTTTGTTGTCAATGATAAAATTCAAGCTTTCAGGCGAAAATTTGAATTTTGGAAAATTTGTATCAGTTATTACCAGCTTCGGCTTTCAGGTGCCACAGGCTCTCCCACTGAGATCAGATATGAACAAATGGGGTCTTTAATACTCTTGATGAAATGAGACCCCACTGGACTGATTTATAATTCAGTGAGCCAGTATTTTCCAAATGACCAATAAAAGATGTTACAAAATTGTTCATGGCCCAGAGAGCTGTTCAAAGTGCAAGACGTGCCTAACTTGTCTAACTATAATAAATAATAAATACTAAAGGTTTACTTTTTAATAACTTGATTTTTAAAAATTTCTCTGTATTTATTTCTAATACAATCAATATCAATAGATATAACTCTCATAAACAAAAGCTTTTCGGAGCCTAATTTTTAAATGGATCCTAGACCAAAGAGTTTGAGAACCGCTCTTCTGAAAGAGAGCTACTCGAAGGCTGCAGCCTCGGCCCCACCTGGAGCTCGTTAGAAATGCTGCTGCTTGAGTCACAGCGCGCTCTGTTCTCCCGTCGTCTCTAGGTCGTTCTGAAGCATGCCAGAAGCTTAAGA